CTCCTCTCCTCTCCTCTCCTCTCCTCTCCTCTCCTCTCCCATCCCCGCAGATGCTGAACCTGTTCGTGGCTGTGATCATGGACAATTTCGAGTACCTGACCCGGGACTCCTCCATCCTCGGGCCGCATCACCTGGACGAGTTTGTCCGGGTGTGGGCTGAGTACGACCCGGCAGCCTGGTACGTGCTGGGACACGGTGGGGACAGCGGGGGGGACACCAGGAGGGGACAGAGGGGACACTGCGGCTGGAATGCTGCACCTGGGCACGCCCAGAGCGCGACTGAACGGGAACAGCTCCAGGATTTGAGGTAACACCGGTGTTCAATGTTCCCATTTCCCTGAGCGCTGCGCAGGAACAAAGCTGGTGTCACTGCAAGGGCGTTTCCTTCACACACACCCAACGCAGCAACTCCTGAGAGCAAAGCACAGCCAAAAATTAACAGATTCACAGCCTCGATCTGCTGAGCCTGGATAAATAACCAAAAATTAACAGATTCACAGCCTCGATCTGCTGAGCCTGGATAAATAACCAAAAATTAACAGATTCACAGCCTCGAACCACCGAGCCTGGATAAATAACCAAAAATTAACAGATTAACAGCCTCGATCTGCTGAGCCTGGATAAATAACCAAAAATTAACAGATTAACAGCCTCGATCCACCGAGCCTGGTTAAATAACCAAAAATTAACAGATTCACAGCCTCAATCCACCAAACCTGGATAAATAACCAAAAATTAACAGATTCACAGCCTCGATCCACCAAGCCTGGCTATTTAGGGTGGAGAAAAGTTATTTAGCACTTCCAAAAGGAATTTTTGGTCCCCGCTTCCCATCCGGAGATGAAAATTCGCAAATGTCTGCCTGTTGGCAGCCTCGGGGGAGTGGGAGAGGTTCACACCTCATTTGTGTGAATGTTTCTCTAACTGAGAAACATTTTTCTAATTTTTCTAATTGAGATCCACCTTGGGGGTTTCCTAAATGCTGCACAGACCCCCCAGGCTGAGTCTGAGCCAGGTCTGCTTCCCTCATCCCACCCGCTCCCACGGGCAATGATGTGATGTTCCTCAGCCTTGGGCTGGTTTCCGGAAAAAAATTGGATTTTTTGAAGCAGCCTTTCTTCATTAAACACGACACTTTTTTTTTTTTTTTTTTTCTGGAAGCCTCCTTGTCACGACATCAAACTCTACGTGGGAATTTTGGGTTTTTGAGTAATATTTAGCTCTGGAGTTGCAGTTGAGGTTGTAAGATGTGCAAAATAATCAGGATAAAATGAAATGGGCCGAAGTTTGGAAATGTTTAATTCTTCTATTGTATTTAATTCTCAGATAAAACATTCCTGATTTATGAGTGAGTTAAAGGAGGGGATGGTTTTCACACACTGGACAATGAGATGTTTATTTTAGGGGGTTATTTTTAAATTTTATTTCTTCCAAGACACAGGGAGACCTGCACACTGGGCTTAGGCAGTGGAGCAGCAGCACAGACCCCAAATTAAGGAATTTTTTAAAACTGAGGGAATGGCCCTGCCCAATGACCACTTCTAGAGCAGGACTGAATTAATAAATTGCTTTTCTGTATTGCTGCACCACAGCCCTGGTGACAGGGTTATTCTCATTGCTGGATGCTCTGTCCCAGGTCCCAATAATTCCCTTGATATTCTATCTGAGAATTTGCCTGTTGAGAGATTCTTTGTTCATTTAAAGCTCTCCTAATTTTGGATCCCTTTTTCCTCCCCATGACTTCCTGTGCTGTGAATCTCCTCTGGATTTTGATGCCTCCAGCTCCTCCAATCTTTCCTTCCTTTTTTTGTTTTTTTTTTTTTTCCTTTTTCCTTCAGCAGAGACAGAGGCAGGGAGTGTTTGGATAATCAACATCTCAAACTCCCTGCTAGGATGCAATTAAACTGCTTTAAAATCTCACTTTAAATGATTTAGCCTAACTTTAAATGGAAGCTTGTTCCAAAAACCTGCATTTCTCTCAACTGTGGGGGATTTGAACTGCTCCAAGCCACCCCTACTACCAACCTGAATATTTACTCCACAGTTACTACCAGCTTGTAATCTCCAGGCAGATATTCATCCCCACGAGCTCTGTGACACAGAAAATCCTTTGTGGGGATTTAGCAGGCATAAATAGCTTTTCTTTTTCCTTTTTTTCCCAATCCAATCCTGTCTCTTCCCACCAGAAAATCTCAATGAGGCTGAAAACTCAGGAGTGCCTGGTTGCTCCTTAAAAAAAACCAGCCTTGGCTCAACATCTGTGGGAGGAGGAACACACCTGCAAGGGAAAAAAACCTGGGATCAAAGTGGATTTTTAATGTTTATATTCAGGAACTTTCCACCCAGAAGAGGCACCAGCACTGAGTTTACAGGAAGATTTCTCACTCTATTAACTCTGAGTCACTCAGAGGCCAAACCTTTCCACTCCCAGAGCTGCTAATGCAGAAAATGTCAGATATTAAGATGCTAATTCTATTTTTTTCCTCTAACCCTGTTCTCTTTTCGCTCTGGTGGGAAGTTATTGAGTGTGAATGGTTCCACTGAAATCACATTTTCAGAAGTGGGACTAAAATCTCCATAAATCTAAAATCTTTTCACACTTTAAGCCAGAACCGAGTTTTCAATAATTTTGATTTAAGACCTTTCTGATCTTAAAGGTCTTTTTCCACCCATCTGATTTTATGATTTGATCATTCCATGATTTGAGCTGTGGTCACTCACTGATCACTGTTCCCAAGGTCTCTTCCTTGATTATCCCAAGGAAAAGGGAATTACAGTGTTTATCCACTTTCCTTAGCTTGAGACCCTCAGTGAAAGATGCTCCACAACTGTTATATTTTTATTATATAAATAATATTTTAAACACAACTTAATGTGTATTTTACCCCTATTTCTGATATCACCTTTGGTTTTGTTACAAAATCCAACTCCCTGGAAAACTTTCCTGGAGAAAACCATTGAAAAGGAAGTAAAAAAGGCAGTTAGGAGCTGTTATTCCAGCTGTGCCACATTCCCTAGGGGTGAGTATGGGAAAACTGCTGGATTTAGGGGTGGCAAAAGCCTTGAGCTCACAAAAAAAAAAAGAAAACAAAAAAAATAAACAAAAAAACAACAAAAAAAAAGGAGAGGGACTGAGAGAAGTGAGGAGCACACGATGGTTTACTGTGAGTTAATTAAGAAAGGAGGGAGAAGAGGATTTAAGGATGAACTAGGAAAAAAATCTAATTGGATTTCTATTTGTTCAACAAAAAAAACAAAACAAAAAAAAAAAACCAAACAAAAAAAGAAAGTGAGTTCTTGATCTGTTTTATTCCTCTCCCAGTGCACACCTCATGGAGATAGTGGTGATGTCACTGTGGCCATGCCATTGTCCCCC